GACAGAGCACCTGGGAAAATAGGCAGTTATGAGTTCTGCTGCAGCAGACTTAAAAGTACCTGCCCAGCAGCTCTGCATGGAACAATGGAGCTCCCAGCACAGCACTTGAGCTTCTATAACGGACAGACTGTGACCTCAGGAGCACCCAGGTACATAAAGCAAGTTCTTAAGGACCTACAAAGAGACTTAGACTCCCACACAATAATAGTGGGAGACTTTAACACTCCGCTGTCAATATTAGACAGATCAACCAGACAGAAAATTAACAAGGATATCCAGGACTTGAACTCAGATCTAGATCAAGAGGACCTAATAGACATCTATAGAAATATCCACCCCAAATCCACAGAATATACATTCTTCTCAGCACATCATACCTACTCTAAAACTGACCACATAATTGGAAGTAAATCACTCCACAGCAAATGCAAAAGATTGGAAATCATAACAAACAGTCTCTCAGACCACAGGGCAATTAAATTAGAACTCAGCACTAAGAAACTGACTTAGAACCACACAGCTTCATGGAAACTGAACAACTGGCTATCGAATGTTGACTGGATAAACAATGAAATGAAGACAGAAATAATGATGTTCTTCAAAACCAATGAGAATGAAGACACAACATACCAGAATCTCTGAGACACATTTAAAGCAGTGTCTAGAGGGAAATTTATAGCAATAAATGCCCACATGAGAAGTGAGGAAAGACCTAAAATTGACACCCTATCATCAAAATTGAAAGAGCTAGATAAGCAAGATCAAAAAAAAAAAAAAAACTCAAAAGCTAGCAGAAGACAAGAAATAACTAAGATCAGAGCAGAACTGAAGGAGACAGAGACACAAAAAAACCCTCTAAAAAATCAATAAATCCAGGAGCTGGTTTTTTAAAAGCTCAACAAAATAGACAGACCACGAGCCAGATTAATAAAAAAGAAAAGGGAGAAGAATCAAATAGATGCAATAAAAAACAATAAAGGGGGTATCACCACTGATTCCATAGAAATACAAACTACAATAAGAGATTACTACAAACAACTTTATGTACCTAAATCATTAAACCTGGAAGAAATGTATAAATTCCTGGACACTTGCACCCTCCCAAGCCTAAACCAAAAACCTTTAATAGACCAATAACAAGGGCTGAAGTTGAGGTATCAATTAATAGCCTACCAACCAAAAAAGTCCAGGTCCAGACGGGTTCACAGCTGAATTCTACCAGATGTACAAAGAGGAGCTAGTACCATTCCTTCTGAAACTATTCCAAATAATCCAAAAAGGGGGAATCCTTCCCAAATCATTTTATAAGACCAACATCATCCTGATACCAAAACCTGGCAGAGACTCAACAAGAAAAGAAAACTTCAGGCCAGTATTCATGATGAACATCGATGCAAAAATCTTCAATAAAATACTGGCAAACTGATTGCCAGAGCACATCAAAAGGATTATCCATCATGATCAAGCAGGTTTCATTCCAGGGATGCAAGCCTGGTTCAACACACACAAGTCTATAAACATAATCCACCACATAAATAGAACCAAAGAACAAACCACATGATTATCTCAATAGGTGCAGAGAAGGCCTTCGACAAAATTCAACAGTGCTTTATGCTAAAAACTCAATAAACTAGGTATCGAAGGAACATATCTCAAAACAATAAAAACTATTTACAACAAATCTACAGCCAAAGTCATACTGAATGGGCAAAAACTGGAAGCATTCCCTTTGAAATCTGGCACTAGACAAGGATGCCTTCTCTCACCACTCCTGTTCAATATAGTAATGGAAGTTCTAGCCAGAGCAATCAGGCAAGAAAAAAAATAATAAAAGGTATTCAATTAGGAAAAGAGGAAGTCAAATTGTCTCTATTTGCAGATGACATGATTGTACATTTAGAAGATCCTATCATCTCAGCCCAAAATCTTCTCAAACTGATAAGCAACTTCAGCAAAGTCTCAGGATATAAAATCAATGTGCAGAAATCACAAGAATTTCTATACACCAATAACAGACTGACAGAGAGCCAAATCATGAGCAAACTCCCATTCACAATTGCTACAAAGAGAATAAAATACCTAGGAATACAAGTAACAAAGGATGTAAAGGACTTCTTCAAGGAAACTACAAACCACTGCTCAATGAAATAAGAGAGAACACGAACAGATGGAGAAACATTCCATGCTCATGGTTAGGAAGGATCAATATCGTGAAAATGGCCATACTGCCCAAAGTAATTTACAGATTCAATGCTATCCCCATCAAGCCACCAATGACCTTCATCACAGAACTGGAAAAAAATACCTTAAACTTCATATCAAACCAAAAGAGAGCCCACATAGCCAATACAATCCTAAGCAAAAAGAACAAAGCCGGAGGCTCATGCTACCTGATTTCAAACTATACTACAAGCCTACAGTAATCAAAACAGCATGGTACTGGTACCAAAACAGAGATATAGACCAATGGAACAGAACAGAGGCCCTGGAGGCAACACCACACATCTACAACCATCTGATCTTTGACAAACCTGACAAAAACAAGCAATGGTGAAAGGATTCCCTGTTTAATAAATGGTGTTGGGAAAACTAGCTAGCCATATGCAGAAAGCAGAAACTGGACCCCTTCCTGACACCTTACACTAAAATTAACTCCAGATAGATTAAAGACTTAAAAATATGACCTAACACCATAAAAACCCTAGAAGAAAACCTAGGCAAAACCATAGGGCATAGGTATAGGCAAGAACTTCCTGACTAAAACACCAAAAGCAATGGCAACAAAAGCCAAAATAGACAAATGGGGTCTAATTAAACTCCAGAGCTTCTGCACAGCAACGGAAACAATCATTAGAGTGAACCAGCAACCAGTGGGAATTGGGAAAACATTTTTGCAATCTACCATCTGACAAAGGGCTAATATCCAGAATCTACAAAGAACTAAAACAGATTTACAAGAAAAAAACAAACCCATCCAAAAGTGGGTGAAGGATATGAATAGACACTTTTCAAAAGTGGACATATATGAGGCCAACAAACATATGAAAAAATTCTTATCATCACTGATTATTAGAGAAATGCAAATCAAAATCACATTGAGATACCACCTCATGCCAGTTAGAATGGTGATCATTAAAAAATCTAGACAACAGATGCTGGAGAGGATGTGGAGAAATAGGAACACTTTCACACTGCTGGTGGGAGTGTAAACTAGTTCTACCATTTGTGGAAGACAATGTGGCGATTCCTCAAGGACCTAGAAATAGAAATTCCATTTGACCCAGCAATCCCATTACTGGGTATAAACCCAAAGGATTATAAATCATTCTATTATAAAGACACATGCATAGGTAAGTTCATAGCAGCATTGTTTACAATAGCAAAGACCTGGAACCAACCCAAATGCCCATCAATGATAGACTGGACAAGGAAAATGTGGCACATATACACCATGGAATACTAGGCAGCCATTAAAAATAATGAGTTTGTGTCCTTTGTAGGGACATGGATGAATCTGGAGACCATAATTCTCAGCAAACTGACACAAAATAGAAAATCAAACACTGAATGTTCTTACTCATAGGCTGGTGTTGAACAATGAGAACACATGGACACAGGGAGGGGAGCATCACACACTTGGGTCTCATGGGGGTGGCCAAGGGAGGGACAGCAGGAGGCTGGAGAGGTTGTAGAAAGATAACATGGGGAGAAATGTCAGATGTAGGTGATGGGGGATGGAGGCAGCAAACCACATTGCCATGTGTTTACTATGCAATAATCCTGCATGATCTGCACATGAACCCCAGAACCTAAAGTACAATAAAAAAATTAAAAAAGAAAAAAGACTTGTGGGAGGGATATGAATGAGGTGTGCCAAAGGGTGAGAATCAGGTCACCAGCTCACAGGGACCAAGAGCCACCAGTGTTGTTTTCAACTACAGGGTTCACTTCTAGAAGCCTGAAGGTTCGTAATGAAACTCACTCTACATCTTAATTACTGCTGGACAACTTAGCAGTAATTCAAATATTAAAGGGACAAACTTTAATATTCAAATAAAAATGTTTTAATGAGTGAATGTTTTTTAAATATCTCTTAAAAATCTAATTTCTTTTAAAAGACCTAAAACTCAAAGGATAAGGAAGGAAAATTATAAGAACCCATCAAATATGAGCACAATATAAGGTTTTAAATCAGCCAACAAAAGCATTTTAGACAATTATATGCCTTGCTGACTAGAAGAGATTAGTTAACTCGGTGCTGAACATTTATTCACCAAGTAAATTTAAATTTAACAGGCCAAAGAAAACCTAATAACACTTTTTCAGTTTTAAAATTTGTCAAAGTTTTTAAAAGAGAAAATAAAATGTCTATTTCATTTCAGTTTTACTTATAAACTAGAAACAAGATAAGTATTTGCAGAACTAAAAAAATGCTTTGATTCTATTCTGTAGAACTTTTGATAATCTTGTATTGTGTCAATACGAATAGGTACATAATTAAAACGTACTTTGAAATGTCCAAGATCATAAACTTAAATTTTAATTCAAGTTTTTTTATTTCAAAATATTAGGAATTATCTCTGCATAAAGCAGTTCAAATTCCATTACACAGTTCATGCTGATCTTTTAAAATATTTTTCAAAACAAATAATATTTGAATTGCAACTCTACTCAAACTCAACATCTGTAGAAGTTATGACAGTTTAACTCAACAGCATTAAATTCAACATAACTAGATAGCAAATCTTATTCTGTAAAATCTAACCTGTATCCAACTATCCTGTACATACCTGAAAATTAAAACCTATTGTTATTTTATTGATATTGTTTTTCCTGAGCTGTGCACCTCATAGAATTTCTCCATCAGAAAAGTATCAAATGGAATTCAAAATTGTATACAATTTAAAATCAAAAATTCAGTAACTTACTTTCAAGCTTGAAAAGTAGTAAACAAAAATTATCATAAAGGAATAAAGTATGATGGTATATTGGTAAATTACCTTAGACAGCTGCGGTAGAAATTTTATTGGTGTCTTGGATTTTTCTTTGCTGGCTGATTTATCCTGCATGAAAAACATGAAAAAACAAAATTGTTTACTCCATTAATGCTAAAATTGATTTACTCAACCAAATTTTATAGTGTTTATGATAAGCACATGTCATCCAAAATATTCTAAAACATACTGTACAAATGGCATGATTTTATATACAGAGAACCTTAATTCATCAAAAAATATTAAAGCTAGTGAATGAGTTCTTGTATCTAGCTACGTTAGAGGATACAAGGTCAGTACACAAAAGTCAAATATATTTAGGATGTGCCAGGAGGGTGATGCATCCCAATTCCACAGGGAGAGGGCATGGAAGCTCTGCATCCAGGAACCTCCCAGGCCTCTCCCCATGTGTCTCTTTATGTGTTTTTTCCTGATTTGTATCCCTTATAATAAAACAGTAATCATAAGTATGTTAAAAATCAATTGTATTAATACAATTATATTTAATACAAAATTGAAATTAAGAGACAATTCCATTTACAATTGCATGAAATGGAATAAAAGACTTAAGAAAAAATTTAACAAAAGAAGTGTAAGACCTACATAATGAAACCATAAAACATTATTGAAAAAAAATGTTTTTTTGTTTTTTGAGATGGAGTCTCACTCTGTTGCCAGGCTGGAGTTCAGTGGCGCAACCTCTGCTCACTGCAACCTCTGCCTCCCCGGTTCAAGCAATTCTCCTGCCTCAGCCTCCTGAGTAGCTGGGACTACAGACATGAACCACCATACCCAGCTAATTTTTGTATTTTTAGTAGAGATGGGCTTTCATCATGTTGGCCAGGATGGTCTCGATCTCGTGACCTCATGATCCTCCTGCCTTGGCCTCCCAAAATGCTGGGATTACAGGTGTGAGCCACCGTGCCTGGCCAGTTTGGTTCTTTTCAGACACTTTCTTCCTACAATCTACAGTTTGCTTCTTTTTTTTTTTTTGAGGCGGAGTTTCACTCTTGTTACCCAGGCTGGAGTGCAATGGCGCGATCTTGGCTCATTGCAACCTCCGCCTCCTGGGTTCAGGCAATTCTCCTGCCTCAGCCTCCTGAGTAGCTGGGATTACAGGCACGCACCACCATGCCCAGATAATTTTTTGTATTTTTAGTAGAGACGGGGTTTCACCATGTTGACCAGGATGGTCTCAATCTCTTGACCTCGTGATCCACCCGCCTTGGCCTCCCAAAGTGCTGGGATTACAGACTTGAGCCACCGCGCCCGGCCTACAGTTTGCTTCTATTATCCACTGTTAAAAATCAATTGTATTAATACAGACAGCATGTGCTGATACTGTGATTGAATCATTAATTCTTGCCATCATGTGACCTGCTGCCACTAGAACTATAGAATGTTTCTAACTAGATCAATATACTGGATGTCAGGGAACAGCTTCCTCTGACTTCCACGTTGCAGGAACTTCTTAATTGTGGGGATGTTGCTGATTCCTGTTTTAAATGCCTTCAGCAGAGGGAAGTCCAAAAGAACAGAAGCTTGAGTTCTTCTACCATTAAAACAGCTTCTAACAGTTGTATGTCTGCCCAGCTGAATTTGTTGCCAATGAGAAAACCTGCTCTATGATCTTCCAAAATCTTTCCAAAGACGGGCAAGTACCAGGTGTCAGCTTTCATCATGACCGAAGCAAGGTTCTCCTCTTTTCCTCAGGGGCCAGCACCATCATCATCATCAGGTCCAGGGTACCATCAGCACACATGTTGATCCTCACTCTCCCCTTCAGGTCCTTCCCATAGACATTGTACTTAGCAAGGTAGCTGAAGTGAGGATGGCTCTAGTCAGTGTCAGCATCATTACATTAGTTTCAACCAAAGGCACTTGGCCAAAAAGTAGGCATCATCCTTCTGCAACTTTTCGCATTATTCTCTCATTTCAAAAAAATTATTCTTCAAACTCCATTCCAGCTGCAGCCAGCAGCCAGTGGACTGATTCCATCCTGCCCCTGCTGTGAAAGCAGTAGAGCTTGGGTTTGGCTGCCAGGACTCTTGACTCAGGGTTTTCTGTTCGGCTGTCTGGAAGCTCCAAGAATGTTTATTTTCAAAAAGAAAAGAAAAACCTTCTTCAATGGTGCTTTTCACTCCAATTGTTACACAATTAATTCATCTGTTTCCTTGACCAAGATTGTCTGTGCACTCTATATTTACTCATGTCTCATTCTCTTTAAATTAGGAAATATATCAAACGTACAGAAAACAATATCATGAACACTTGTATATCTTCAGCCCAACTCTGCCATTCTGGAATTTTGTGTTTATCATTCCTATACAAATTTTTACTACACTTATTACTACATATGATTACCAAACAACCTAAGATATATATTGTTACTGCATGATTTTACATTTTATATAAATGCCATCACACCATCTGTATCCTTCTGCCACCTATTTTTAATATTATGTTCTGAAATTTATCCCCATCAATATACCTTTCTCAATGATTTTCACAGCTGTATAGTACTCTGTGAGCACAGTACAATGTATCCATTCCATTCTCCAGTGAATGAACATTTAACTTATTTCCAATGTTTCTCTATTACAAAAGATGTCTCAGTGAAAGTCCTTGGGCATGTATTTTAGTATAAACACATACAATTCTTAGACATGTATCTCATACATACACACATATATGTGTGTGTATATATAACATATATACATTTACATGCATCTCTTTTTTTGTCTCTTTAATTTCATGGGTTTGTTATCTGTAAAAAAAATTTATTATATTGCCTAACTTACTATGATTCCTGGTAAGTCTTGGAATCTGTAGAGCAATTGCCTCCACTTTACCATTTTTAAAAATTATCATAAACAATCTTACCAGTTTTTCTACCATGTGAAATTTGGGATCTACACTGCATGAAACTTTTTAGGACAATGATAGAAACACATTGAATACTGACTCTTCTCTCTTGTGAGCACAATATATTTCTTTACTTATTCAGATTCTGGGAGCATATCCTTCAGAAACATTTTGTAGTATTCTTCATAAAGGTGTCATTTCTTTTTTAGATTTATTCTTAGGTATAAAGATTTTAAATGATAAATTAATGATAGGATCTCAACAACTGTTTATCCAGCTGATTTATGGGCAGGGACAGGGAACTGTCTATGAAGACTGCATGCATTTACAATAATGTCTGCCATGGTTGTGCTCTGCCTCAGATCAAGTTTTTACCCTCTTCTTCCTGATCTGTGTCCGGGAGGTTGAATTCTATGATGGACATCATCTGGGCCCTCAGCTTCTGGCTTCTGATAGAGATTAACCAAAGAAGGCACCAGGAGGAAACTAAAGAGCAGGCGGACAGAGAGTTTAGGATATTTGTTTCCTAGTCTTCCCTGTTCCCTGAAGTTCTGATAGTGGCTAAATTCATCCAGACCTCAGCTCCTGTCAGGAAGCTACCATTGCAAGTGTCCAGCACTTATCGGGGTTTGAGAATAATGTTCTGTTTCAATGACCCGATGGGCCTAGCCATGGAAATGGCATCCTACTGTCCTACTACTGTTAATCCTTAAGTGTCTCTTCATCCCTCATGGTTCCTTTAACCTTACCAACACCTCTACAAATGGTCTTTTTGTAAATGTTCTTCAGTTAAATCCTTTTGAGAATGCCATCTGTTTTCTGTTGGGATCCTAATATAATTCTACATTCTAAAATTAAAATTGCTAAAGAGTCTAGGTTTGTCTTAAATAGTCTGGCTTTGCATTTTGTTTTTACTTTGCTGATTTTCACCTACTTGACTCCTGGAAGAGATGTCATAAACCTAGTATAGCCTAGTATTAACCATCCTGATCAAACCTAACCTGTCTGGTTAAATCAACAATAACCTCTCAAAATTTAGTAGTACTGATTTAAATATAGTTGTCAGTTGTCACATGATTGAGTTATGGTTGTTAAAGTTATCACCATGCTGTTGGCCTCATATCCAACTTTTTTCACTCTTTCCCCTTTTTAAGCAATGACATTTTAAAAATATGATGAAGGAAAATGGAATGAGCATCACATCATATAAACACAAATTACTTTATTATATAACTAGAAAAAGTGCTGGGGTAGAAAAAGATGTATGGCTTTTTCCTCTTCTCTGCCCACAGTCTGTACTAGCTCCATGGGGAGCTTCCTGGTCTTTAGATATTTGTGCCTTTAAACCTCTGAAAGTTCTTCAGCCTACACTAAAAATGCCTTGAAGTTTAACTAATTTCAAAAATGAAATGAGCAATGCAAAAAGATTTATATTTCTTTTAAATATCTAATTTAAGAGAAAAGCCCAGGCTGCTACTCCTGAAAAATTTGATGTCACTCTCAACCTTCCACGAATGAGATGAATATGTTAAAATCTCCTTCAGCAAATATGATTTCACCACCTGCTCACTTTCTCAAACTGAATGAATATACAAGTAAATGTCACATAAAAAATGGCACTTCCAAAAGTTTAATCCATTCTGTTTGTTTTAGGTTAAAATATAAAAACTTTTATCCTTCCAAAGGAAAACTACACTCTAAATTAGCATAAATGAAAATCTCCAGATGAGATTTTAAAATTACAAATCAACCAAAACAGTGATAGAGGGCCCTCTGCTGTTCAAAAATAGTAAGTGTAAATGGAAATCATGTCCATTCTTTTTTTTTCAGCCACAATAGTTTATTTACAACTGAACTCTTTATATTTACAAGACAACCAATACACATCAGAAATGGTATCATGTCCTTTCTTTTAAGATCCCATTGCCTCTCCAATAAATCACAATCTTTTTGGAGGGGGAGTGAGAGACTAGGATGTCATTTCCCAACATCACTTTTATAAAGATGAAGCAAAATTTAGAACTTAACGGCTGGTGGGTTTTCAGTGGATATTTTTAGTTGTAGATGGGTAAGTTAGGGGAATTGTTAAAAACAGCTATTCAGAAACACATTGAAAATGTGATAGAAGTGTATTTTAAACTCTAACAACATAGGATATGGTTCAAGATCTGGCCAAAGACTAATTTGGGCATCAAACAAAGAAGCTGCACAATATATAATAATGATGACGATAACAAATTTTATTTTAAAAATCTGATTACATTACGATCACATAGAAAAAATTACCAGTAAGATCTATTAAACAATTGCTCAGTGTTTTTGGTTACTTGAATCTCAATTTTTTGTTTTTTGCTTGCTCATTTACTCTTTTACTATTAATATCAATACTAATTATACTTTGGCATATGAATCAAAGTGTCCATTTCTTAGTTCTTAAGTTATACTTATTTTTTTTTAAAAAAAAGCTCAAACCAATTTTTCTTAAGCATTTCGGGTACTAATTACTTATTTGATTAATTAACGAACTGGGATCATCACATTATCCTGTTACTAAGCTACAACTCAATGGCTAGGAGACTAAATCCGTTTTAATATTTTTTCCACAATAAAGTCTAATACCGAAAAAAGCATTATAAAGCAATTAAAAATTATAGTTTAATATTGTTTAAAAGCTAAATGAAATTTGTCTACTTAAAAACAACTGTTTTTCTTCCAAAGGGTTTATAAGGTCCCTTTTATTATTATTTTTCAACACTACGTAGAAAACTAGAGTTGTTTTCTACCTGGCCAGAATAATGCCAGAATAATGCTTAATATCTCCTCATTCTGTGCTGATATTAAGACGATTGACCATTATTCTGCATTTCTTATCTACTATAGTTGCCCTTAAGTTCAATAAAGAAAGAATTCTTAGGAAAAAAAGGAAAGAAAAGAGAAAGAAGAAAGAAAACAAAAGAGAAAGAAAGAGAGAGAGAGAGAGAAGCAGCTATTGCAGGGTGCATCTTTTATTACATGCCATGGAATATCACCTTAAGAAGTGCCATTTGTCACTTACCAAGGCCTTTCATGTACATTGTAATACTGTATAGTTATGGTATATAGGATGGTATCTTATTTGAATTTGACAACAACCTCAGAAAGAAGAAAAGTTGTTCTGGTGTCTCCCCCACTCTGCATAAGAGGTGGGAGAATTAAGGTTTGGAAAGAATAGGAGGAGATTTGCCCAGAGTCACACGGCTAGGAATTGGCTTGGATTCCCACCCTAGAACCCAAACCCGCAGCAACTGCCCGCAGAGCCCCCTCTCACCCAAGCACACCCCCAGTAGCACCACGGGGTGTTCTGGGCTGTGGCTCCCCCTGCTGGCGCGCCGCTGAACTGCTAGGTTTGGTTGCTATGACGACCAAGGGCAAACAGCTGGGAAGGGAACGTACAAGGGCATTCCCGGAAAGCGCTCAGTAGTCCACGCCATAAGTGGGGTGAAAGAAGCTGTACACTGCGGAGTACCAGCTGGAGAGTTCGGTGGGCAGGAGGGGATTCCACCACTTCCGAAACGCCTGGGAAGCGTCGCGGCGGCGGCGAGGCTGGCGAAGAGCAGCCCTCTCACCTGCTCGCTGCTCATGGCTGCGAGGACGCGCTGGCCTCACCGGCGCTTCTGGATCGCTCCTGTCCTCGGAAGCCCTAGAAAGATAGAGGCGACGCCCCGGGACCTGCTGGCCGTCTCAGCTCTCTCCGCGCCAGGGCCGTTTAACGTCCCGGCAGCATTTGTTGCTTAGCAACAGGCCCGCGCAGATTCCATTTCCGGTCATCTGTGGTTCTGGGACTGGACCCGGAAGCTGGCGCTCGCTCCCGTGACAGTTTTCCGGGGCGCCTCTGCTCGTGTGGTGGGGTTCAAGGTGTGCGTTGAACAACCAAAGGCACTGGGGTGGGTCTCCTCCAATATCCTCTGATTACCAAAATAAATCCTCGCACTTCTACACCCTCCTAACTGAGCTGGGTGCTTGGGACCACTGCTTTAACCCCTCGAGGTCTCAGAGAACCATTGGTATGAAATGATTTCAAATTTCATTGCTAATATGGGCAAGTGGAATAATGCGAACAAAGGGTGCAAAGGCCGGATCCAGTAAACACCTTTCTTTTATTATTCATGTGCTTCTAACCCCTGTTCTGTTGACTCTTCCCACACTCTAGAAAACTATCCTTTGGAAGAATACCAGTAAAGGAACCTTCCAACAATTCTTGAAACCAACGTTCACAGATGGTTTACTACACGAAAAGTGGTGTGCTAAGCACAAATGTGACCAAGACATAATCCTTTCGCCACAGGCTAGTGGGGTGTCCAAGCAAGTACTTCCATGTGGTGGAGACGGTGCTAGGGATGGCAGTCCTCAGGGAGAACGTAAAGCACCAAATAATTTTCTCACGGAGGGTATGGAAGGGATGTGGAAGCTGAAATCTGAAGGAAGTACCAGGCAAAGAATGTCGGGCAAAAAGCAGATCACATATAAAGGCTTGAGAAAAGAGAGCATAACTACTGGAAGAAGTGAAAACGTTTCAGAGAGGTTGATGAGTAGGTTAGGGTAAAGGGGTTGGAGCCAATCTGGAGATGAAGCTGAAGTGATAAGCAGGTGTTATATCTTAAAGGACCCTATAAAAGAGCAGGAGTTTGGATATCAAAGGCAGCTGACCTCCATTGAAAAGTTTTATGCTAAGAAATGGCAGAATTGCATCCTAAAATTAACAAGGAACCTCAAAGAGTCATAAATAGCTGAAACAATCTTGCAATTAAAGAAAAAAGTTGAAATACACTTCCTGGTTTCAGAACTTACTGCAAAAAATAGTGGCAATAACAATTTATTTTCAACAAATGATGCTGGGAAAACTAGATGTCCATATGCAGAAAAAATGCAGTTGGACCTTTACCTAAAATTATCTCAAAATTGATCAAAGACCTAACTGTAAATTCTAAAACTATAAAACTCTTAGAAGAAAAGTTAGAAGAACAGCTTCATGACATTGGATTTGGCCGTGATTTCTTGAACATGACACCAAAACAGCAAAGGAAAAAATAGACAATTCAACTGCATCAAAATAAACCTTTGTGCATCAAAGAATACTATCATCAGTAAAAAGACAATCCACAGAATGGAAGCAAATATTTGCAAATCTGAGGAGGGATTGATGTACAGAATATTAACAAGTGTTAATGAGGATGTAGAGAAATTGGAACTCTTGTGCACCACTGGTGGGAATGTAAAATGGTGTAGCTTGTATGGAAAACAGTATGGCAGTTCCTCCAAAAATTAAAATAGAATTACCATACGATCCAACAATTCAATTTCTGGTACACACCCAAAGAAGTAAAAGCTGGGACACAAACTTATATATATGCTCTTATTTATAGAAGCATTATTCACTATAGTCAAAAAGTGAAGCAACCCAAATGTCCCTTGATAGACAAATGCATAAACAAAATGTTGCATATATATTCAACCTTTTAAAAAGGAAGGAATTTCTGACATATTGCTACATCTGCTACAACATGGATAAAGCTTAAAGATAATAACTGAAACTGCCCAGTCACAAAAGCAAAGAAGATAGTGTTAAAAAAAAAAGGAAGATACTGTATGATTTCACTCATTTGAAATACATAGAGTAACCAAATTTATATAGAAAGAAATTAGAGAGCCAGGCGCGGTGGCTCAAGCCTGTAATCCCAGCACTTTGGGAGGCCAAGGCGGGTGGATCACGAGGTCAAGAGATAGAGACCATCCTGGTCAACAAAGTGAAACCCCGTCTTTACTAAAAATATAAAAAATTAGCTGGGCATGGTGGCGCGTGCCTGTAATCCCAGCTACTCAGGAGGCTGAGGCAGGAGAATTGCCTGAACCCAGGAGGCGGAGGTTGTGGTGAGCCGAGATCGTGCCATTGCACTCCAGCCTGGGTAACAAGAGCAAAACTCCATCTCAAAAAAGAAAGAAAGAAAGAAAGACATTAAAATGGTGGTTGCCAGGGACTGGAAGCGGGAGGGCCAAGAAAGGGAATGAGGAATTGATGTTTTATGAGTACAGGGTTTTCAATTATGCAAGATGAAAAAAAAATTAAAGAAGAATGTGGTGATGGTTGCACCACAATGTGAATGAACTTCATGCCACTGAATCGTGCACTTGACAATAGTTAGAATGGTAAATTTTATGCTATATGTATTTTGCCATAATTTTAGAAATTCATTTTGAATATTCTTAAAATAAGAGGAGGAAAACTGAAGCCAAAAAAATAAAGAAGGAAAAAGGACAAGATTATACTCCCATTTTACAGAAGTCACCCTAATTTCAGCATGGTAGAGAGATAGGAGAAAGGTGGGACCTGGCAGTAACAGGGAGACCTGTTAGAAGACTATTACAAGAGTACAGTGAACGATGCGGATGCCTGAAACTGGGCCAGTGATAGTGGGAATGGAGTATACACATTGAAGAGACATGCGGAAGATGGCTTCATTATGATGTGGAGGTTTAAAAGGTAAAACTAGGTTGAGGATCATTTTACTGCTTTGGATACCTGAATAGATTGTCCTATCACTCACTAAGTTAAAAAAAAAAAAAAAAAAAAAAAAGAGGAAGAGAATAAACAGGCTTTACAGAGAAAGTGATGAGTCCAGCATCAGGCACATTGAGTGTGAGACATCTATACGATATGGAAGTGCGTATATGGCTGGTAGACATTGCAGATATCGGTCAAGGCTCAGAAGATAATTCCTGGGTTAAGGACATGGATCCAAGGCTAACATATAATGACATCTGAATCCATGAGATACATGAAATTGTTCAAGGAGTGTGTAAGGACAGAACAGAAAGGAATCTAGTAAAGAAAAACTAAACACTACCAGTCTTTATGAGTTAGAGGGAGGTCCTCCAAAGAAAACTGAAAAAAAAAGTAGCCAGAGATAACAGGGAACTCAGAGTACAGAATCATAGAATCCAAGAAAAAAATATTTCATGAAAAAGAATATAGAGAATATACCAAGAGCTCCTGACAATATGCATTCTAAGGGTTTAAAAGTATCTATTGGATAGACTGACAAAGAAGTCATTGGTAAACGTGGCAAAGGAGGTTCAATCCAATGCGGGGGCCAGAATCCAGAGGCTGAAGAGTGAAAGAAGGGAGACTGCCAGAACAGAAAATCATCGGAAAGTTTAGGTTATGAACAAGAGAGATAGACTGGGGGCTGAAGGGATTTAGGGAGAGAGGGACTATATTTTTTTTAATAGGAAAGTTTTGTTTGTGTTTAAATGCAAACAGGAAGGGAGAAGATGAAGATAAAGGAAAAAGTAAAAGGAGATAGGATTAATTCCAGATGGAGAGCTCTTGTAAGGACACCTTGTAAAAGGAAGAAGGAAGAATGAGTGAAAATGTGGGTGTTTAAAGCTTGCCTCTGTGTAGTTGGGGACATCCCCCCCCACCAAGAATTTTATTTTCTCTGTGGTATAGAAAGCAAAATCACCTTCCAAGAAGAGGAGAGGTAGGAGGCAGGGGATGGTCAAAAATTTGATGAGGAAGTTTCGATAACTACATGGCAGCAATAAGGAGAGAACAAAGTGATTAAAGAAATAGTGGAAAGGTTCAGCTGGCGTTGAAGCCTCTGAATCAGCAACAGCAACAATCCACTTAGCTCTGCACTGCTCTCCAAAGGTCTTCAACAGACCAGACTTTAGGTTCACAGAAGACAAAGGCACAATGTCTTTCCCAGGCTGGTATAACAGGAGAACAGACCAAGAGAATGGAAAATCTGTTAAGAGTGAAGTGAAAATTAAAAAATCACAGAAATGAAAATAATGAGTAGAGGAAGAAGGGACTGTTAAATGGGAAGAAAGGGAATAGGATGGAGAGGGTCTCATAGGTGAAGGAGTGAGGGTATTGTTTCTGTGATTTCACAAGTGGAGCAATTCCAGGTGTTGAGTACGTCCCTAATGTGGCCACAGAAGTGGGAACTGAAGTGAAGGACTTTGTCATGGAAGGTCAAGGAACTAAGCTCCTCAAGCCATGTCTGTTCCCATGGATGCCGAAGTAGCAGAGTGGAGAGAGGAGGGAGAACTGTGAGCTAGTGTCTTCAATGAATGAAGCTGAGGCAAGGAAAAGAGTTGCTATGAGCCTAAGGTTAGTAAGAATTCTTAGTGGAAAAACAGAAGATAAATGTTGCAGACCCTGTCTCCCAAACTTGGAAGAATGGAAGAGTCTACATAGAAACAGGCTTGAGGGGGAGACAAATTTCCATAAAGACTTGGAGATAGGAATAAATCTGATATGGGTTGAAGATGTAGTTTTGTTTTATAGCCTCAGGGCATAGTGATAAAATATGAAAGCCAGTAAACTACTAGGGAGGTTAGTCAGGCAACTAGAAGCAAAAAGCACTTAGAAAGTTAGAGTACAAGAAGAAAAAAAAAAAAAGATTGCCTCAAAGGTTTATCCCACAGGCAACAACCAACAGATACAAAGGTGTACTAAGTTTAGCAGCTGCCAGCCTGATGCCAAAAGAACTAGCCCCAGCAGTTCTGAGGTGTTTAGAAGGGGTTTCAGATTCTTGGCAAAAGTCCAAAGTTAACTGGATTGCTTCATGGAGGGTCATAGTCTGCATGAGCAGGCCAGGAGACTTTGAGGGATTCACAGTAACAGCACCAGACAGAGATGAACCTAAAAACCTTAGCCATCCACCTTCCACTCTTTACCATCTGCCAACTTTTTTTCTTCAATCCTCTGCTAGCTCCCTGTCCATTCACCTTCAATCTCAAAAGCCATTGTT